TCCCTAGCTCCAATGTACCAAATGTGTTAACCTCAACTTATTTTCTTTAGTTACTTTTGATACGCATTACAAAACAAATATCTTAATTATTGGACAACTTTTTATATTGTATATTATTTGGTGAATATTGAAAAACACAAACAACATAATGTTATATTTATTACAATATCTTTTTAATATTAATATCATAATGAAATATTATATTATCTTATAGAGACGATAGTAGCGAGAATCTTTATTATAATAAAAGGAAGGAAGTCTGTGATTCTTTTTTTCCGCTCAAAATAAGGGTACTTATGTAATTTTATCTTGTCATAATTATTCTCTTTTTTATTTTTTTATTTTAATAAATTCTGATCATAAGAAAAACCTTTCATCTTTCTCTTTGCTTTATACAAAAGAAAAACTCTTCCTCTTCCTCTCTGCTTTATACGTTTCTCATCAAATTGTTTGTATTTTGTCTTCCACTCAGAGAAGCAATTATGGATATCTATTTCCTATGTATTTGTTGCAGCTTTTCAATGCCAATTAATCTCAACTATCCTCTAATTTTTAAAGCATTCTATCAATAACCATTTTTAGGTAAGCTTGTACGAAGTTTTAATTTTAAAGGTTGATTGTTTCAATGTTGATGTAGTGAACATATTATTAAAAGTTTTATCCTTTTTTACTTTCATCTTCTTTTTAAAGGACATGGATAAGACGTTTACATTACTAAAGGACATTACAGCAGGGAGAATTGACTGGAAGATAAGAGTTCGTATAATAAGATTATGGGAGCTGCGAGAGTTTAAGAATCCATTGCAAACAAATTCCTTGGAGATGATTTTGGTTGATGAAGAGGTTTTTTTCTTCTTCATAAATTATAACAGTTGTAAATTTCATTGTTAGATAGTATAGTTTTTGTTTTTGCTTCTGTTTGAAATTTTCATCTTCACCAAAAAAAATATATAATTAGTAAATATATTGTTTTCAGAATCAATTAAAATGAGTCGATGATCTTAGTAAGGACATTGGTAAATTTTTCTGCACGTATGTTATTTTTTAGAAGCTAATATATTTTTTTCCTTTATTCTTTTAATTATTTTTACCTATTATAATTTAAATAATAACCTTATTTTAAAACAAATGAAATTAGTCGGATTCAAATTTTTCAATTTTTTCTTTTTAACCAAATCCTACAACTCAATATCTTTTTTAGAAAAAAGTTTCTGTCACTTTTGTATGTACAAATCATTTTGTTTAAGGCTAATTACTACAATAGTCATGTTGTATTCTTGCATTTTTAATTGATGAATTTCTATGTAATGTTGCTAGATTTTTTCAATTTGACCTTTCTATTTTGCTGCCAACTCATTATATGTCTTTCATTTCAATTTTTTCTTATTCAATTCAATTTTGCTAGAGTTTAAGAATCTATTGAAAACAAATTAGATGATTTTGGTTTATGAAGAGGTTTTTATTTTTCATAAATTATAACAATTATAAATTTCATTGTTGGATAGTGTAGTTTTTGTTTTTTCTTCTGTTTGAAAATTTCTTCACAAAAAAAATATGATTAGTAAAGATATTATTTTCAAAATCAATTACAATGAGTCAATGATCTTAGTAAGGACATTTATAAATTTTTCTGCACGTATGTTATTTTTTAGAAGTTGTATTTTTTTCCTTTATTCTTTTAATTATTTTTATCTATTATAATTCAAATAATAACTTTATTTTAAAATAAACGAAATTAGTCTGATTCATATCTTTCAATTTTTTCTTTTTAACCAAATCATACAACTCAATATCTTTTTTAAAAAAAGCTTACCGTCACTTTTGTATGTACAAATCATTTTGTTTAAGGTTAATTACTACAGTAGTCATGTTGTATTATTACATTTTTAATTCATGAATTTCTATGTAGTGTTGCTGGATTTTTCCAATTTGACCTTTTTATTTTGCTGCCAACTCATTACATGTCCTTCAGTTCAATTTTTTCTTATTCGATTCAATTTTGCCAGAATTTAAGAATTCATTGCAAACAAATTCCTTGGAGATGATTTTGGTGGATGAAGAGGTTTTTTTTAATAAATTATAACAGATATAAATTTTATTGTTGGATAGTGTAGTTTTTGTTTTTGCTTCTGTTTGAAATTTTCATCTTCACAAACAAAATATGATTAGTAAAGATATTGTTTTCAGAATCAATTACAATGAGTCAATGATATTAGTAAGGACATTGATAAATTTTTCTGCACGTTTGTTATTTTTTAGAAGCTAATGTATTTTTTCCCTTTATTTTTTTTAATTATTTTTACCTATTATAATTCAAATATTATCCTTATTTTAAAATAAATGAAATTAGTCTTATTTAAATCTTTCAATTTTTTCTTTTAACCAAATCCTACAACTTAATATTTTTTTTAAAAAAAAAACTTACTGTCACTTTTGTATGTACAAATCATTTTGTTTAAGGCTAATTACTACAATAGTCATGTTGTATTCTTGCATTTTGAATTGATGAATTTCTATGTACTATTACTGAATTTTTCCAATTTGACCTTTTTATTTTGCTGCTAACCCATTACATGTCCTTCACTTTAATTTTTTCTTATTCGATTCAATTAAGATGTGAAATAATGTTTTTAATCAATTTGTTTCTGTTGTGTTATTGACTTTCTACTTATTCTACATTTTTAGTCTTAAATTTTTCATACCTTCGTAACTTTATCATATTTCATTGCATTTGAGATAATAGTTGTATTGATTTATGCATTTTATTTATAATAAATGAGAATATAGGTGATATTTCATAAGTTATTATGTTGTATTGATTTAGGGAGTAGTTTTCTTTTTTTATTGTGTTATTATTAAATTTTACATTTATTTTAAATTTCTGTTTTATGTTTTTAGTTTCATTTCTAAGGCCAAATAATCTCTATTATTTGGTTTTTAATTATATGTGATGCATCAACTTCTTATTCAATTTTAATTTAATGTCTGATTTCATAATATTTAATAATCAGGATGGAAGGATTCATGCATATGTTAAAAAAAATATGTTTTGGGTAAATTATAATCCCAATACATAAGAATAAAATTTTTGGGATGTTACAAAATATATGTGACAACGAATTAAAGTTTTTAAGTTATAAGTTGAAACACATTATTATGCGGATGATGTTAAGTTGTAATGTTGTGAATGTTGAAAATATTAAGATGTCTAAGCTGTGTTGATTTAACATATTCATGTATATGTTGTTGTTTTATGTATAAATTTTATCCTTATTTTTCTTATGTTAAACTGCGATGATTGTATTTAATACAAGAGCAAGTCAAGAGTAGGTTCGAGAAACGCCAATTATATGTTGCAATATCTCGAGTCACATCTCGCAGTAGTCTGAAAATTCTTATTTGTGATGATGAGGTAAATGGTTCAACATCTACTACTAATTTAGTTTATAAAGAAATCTTTCAGACTCTGACATAGGTAACTTGCGTTTTTTTTTTAATAATAACATTATAAAAGGAAAACATGTTTACTTTAGTTTTAATTTTACCAATTTTTCAGGTATTTCACCAAGTTTATTTTTCATGATGGATGTGTTCAGGAGTCATTACATAATTACTGTACAAGGTAAAAGTTTAATTTTGTTTCCTTCCTATTTGAATTATTACATCTTTATAGCATTTTAATATTACCCTCTTTTAAATTAATTATAAGGTTTTTTTTCTTCAGGTTAATGCATTAACTCATATTGTAGATGTTGATGATTTTGAAACTGAGACACAATACAATTTAGTTTTCTTATTAATTTATATTATCATGTTTTTAATCGTTTATCATTGTCATTTTATTCATATATTCAGATATCTTTTTTCATACTGCGTTGGATTCAATTAATTTTCATAATTTTATATACATTAATTATTAAAATAAAATTTATTTACTATAATAATTTATTTTTCGTGTAACGCACGGGCACATGTCTAGTTAAAATAATGACAGTAATATTAGTGGTAATGATAATAACAACATTGATGATAGGAACATAATGATAGTGAATGATGACAGCAATAATGGTAGATTTCAACAATAATGATGATAAGTGAAAATAGTGATAAACAATGATAATATTTGATGACAAAGATAAAATTTAAAATAATGTTTATGTATCACCAGAATAGTAATGAATTTTATTAACTTAGAACAAAAAAATTTCTTATAATTTATTGAGTAATAAAAACTTAAACTTTGTCCTATCTTTCTTTATCTTTTTTGTTTTATTTTATGAACCTTTTGTAAATTAAACACGGACCAGTTATATTTCTCCTACCTATTACGATGATTTTTAGCGAATCAATCACACCCTTCCATAATACTTTCGATTATAGTTCCCTTTTATATTGTGCTGCTCTACAACTTTTAGTGTATTTACGTCAATTCCTATTTCGTGAAAGATAAAATCACTAGATGACAAAACAAGCTATTGCATACAAAATTGAACACCACCTAATTGAATATTTAAATTGCATTACACTACAATTAAACTTTGCAAATGGATATCATCCTATTCTGATACAAGAGTTAAGCATTGAAGTGTTAGCTAGCTATTTAGGAATCTTTCCACACAAGGCATTGATCTATAGGAGAAGATGCATTTCATACTTCATCCGTAAAGAAACTACATCATATCAATTTTGTGTAATGGTAATAAAGGACCGTCCTGATATATGACAGCTTATTAGAGTCAAGCCCAGACAAGTTGTCAATTACAAGGATTTGGGTTGAAAAGGAAAGAATCAAACTATATCAAGGGTGGTAGTTGACAAATAGTAACTTAAAACATTGAAAACATAGAAACTCTGGTTCTTTACCTATAAAGTATGACAACTCCACAAGCACCTACATAATAACTAAAGGCATCACATGTAAAGTTAAATGGTACCACACAAGAGTACAAGACAACCATCAAGCTAAACTTTAACATCATAGACCCTTGTTTTCCATAACATCTTTTAAAAGGACAAATAATTTGATTAAATCAGCATTAACATCTATCTCAAAAGGTCCAACATTGAACTTTTTATGAAGACAAAACAATGAGTTGGTTGACTACAGATAGCAGGATTGACCAAACTGTACACCAACAGAAGTAATGAATTCCAAGCATGAATAACTTTCTCCAAAAAATAAAATTGAAAACAATAAAGGTTTTGAACAAAATTGCGAACAGATTCTTTACAAGAGGAGCCTCCCTAAGAATGTAAGATGCCAGTGTCAAAGCCAGTATACAGTATTCAATGAGTCAAGACTATAAGCCAATTGGCCACCATAAATACTCTGTCTCTCTTTGTTGAATATCTTCATGTGATGTGAAAATAGATATTTTGCTCTGAATGCTTGTAACACTGCTAACAGAGTGTACAATTTGGCTGATCACATTTTATGCCTCAACTCTTAAGGACCTCATGGTCATATCATTTTGTACTAAAAGAACTCAGCTTCACCCTTTAAGAATTTAGATAGGATTGGTATTATCATCAATTAAGATTTCTTTGGGAACCTTCAAATTTAATTGCTGGGTATCCCATTCTGCATCTTTCAACTTTTGAATGAAATCCTCAAACCTCTCTTCCAATTCTATTAGACTATTAGCAATTTGATCACAAACATTAACATTGCTATCCCAGTTCTCACTTAGCCAGAAAGCCTGCCACACACTTCGCAATACTGAAGCACTTGTAGCTCCAACCTGCAGTGTATTATCAACGAGAAGTTACAGTAAACCTATCAATCTCAAAACACTGGTACTCCTGAAGTCCATAAAAAATCCTAGAACCCCACATCTCCAAAACACCTTACCAATCATCAGTAAGAAACAGCATTTCCTCAAATTGCTGCTTTGTGTTTGATTCCTCAAGTTGCTGCTTCTTCAACTTCCCGTACTTTTCCTTCAGGGCATTAATGCTTTTTTTTTGCAGTTTTTTTACAACCTCACAAATGTTGTAAAGCTAGTCCTTGAGGTGGTAGCTGCTCATTTTTTTTTCTTGAAATAGTTCTGTCCTCTTTGGAAAATTGGAGAAGTATCAACTTGAGGAATCAAAGACAACATAGCAGATACACGCCCCCACATACAATAGCCCTTTTGGACTAGAAGCATGGAAAATAAACAGGACCGTGTGAAAATTCAACCTTTATGGTGGTGAGAAGGATCAAATTCCAAACCACTTGGTCAAAGAGTATATAATACACCATCAATGACCAAGTATCCCAGAAATGGTTCAAATTGTTAGGTGAAAGATCATGAATGGTTTTACATCTAACAATAAAATTTAAGGTCGAATGAGGATTGCTTCAGTTATTTCTCATATGGGAATTGAAGCATACCTTGAAAGAAACAAAAAACCTCAAATCTTCTTTCTGCTGATTCACCATAAGAATATATTTCTCACTTGCATATAATTTTAGAAGTGCCCCCACCTGCCCCATTATAACATAATTATATGATTTCCTGATGGATTTATTTGAAATGTAGAGAAAATAATTATGAACCTCTTGGTTTCCTTCATAAAATTGTGTAAAGCAGCAATAATGATCCTATACCATAAAATGAGATCTCTCCACACCATTCATTTTCTCCAAGGACAAGCCAAAAAGTATTTTTGGCTTCATGAATTGCGACCAAACTAATATATTCTCTTCTCTGTTGCAATCCGTGCATCCTGAAATAAATCCGTATGGCAAATTGAACATATGTGAAGGGAAATACCTCATACAGCATAGTATTGAATTTGTCTGAATGTAACCTGGAACAGTAGAGTGTAACACATGTGATTTTACCAGTATGTGAGCACGCTTTAGATTTATCTGTAAAAAGAGCAACACAAAAGAAAAATAACTAAACAAATCAATCATTGGGATAAATATTGGTGGACTTTCTCCCTTACTGTTTAGAGGAAATGGAAAGGGTGCAACAGTAAAATTGTCTTTTTGTTGTCAAGTATGTGGACCTCATACAAAAGAAATATTTGTTACCCAACTAAGTCTGAAAGGATAAAAAACATAAAACAACATCCCTGTTCAACAGGATGGTTCTAAATCCATTTCTACAAAGCAAGAAAAACAGTCACCACTCACCAGAACAGTCATTATTAAAGACATTATAATTCAATATCTTCTCTCATAAAGAAATACACAGTCAGATTTGAAATGTCTTTCTACCAGCTTGCGTGCATACAGATTTATTTGCATTAGGTTATGCACTACATGCTTACTGTGTTAAACTGGAGAACTGAAAGTGATTCATAGCGTAGCCAAAGATGCAGAAATCGCATACTCAACCAAGTTAATGAAAGTACACCATACGATTTTACAAGGCCAGGTGTATCCTGCAATCAAGAATTAAAAGAATGTAACCTGCCAACTAACAGTGTATTGATGCTGAGAAATAAAGCCATCCTGAAAATTTATGTATTTTACCAGAATCAATATGCCGATACCAAGGCCAACCAGTTGAGCAACAACTTCCCAAACTTCTTCCTGAGAAATTTTGATGCAACAATTATATGAGGGAAACCCTTTAAATTTTCCAAACAGTGGTATACTGGAATTGGAGAATAACAGACGTGTATAACAAGACTTTTATATAAGAAGAAAGGGAGAATTTCTAAAAGTCAAATGAAGCTGAGATGTTTAGACCTAAAGGGAACTTATTAATGACAATTGATAAATCAAGTCACGTAATTGTTCATTGACCAACATGTATACACCAGTTCACTCAATGTCCAACATCTTGGCTTGGCTTTCTGCCTCAACGATTCTTCCAAGAGCATATTAAAAACTTAGGCGTTACCTGGCCCAGCATATGTAACTAAGAAATGAATAAAATAAAATAAAAAGATAACAAGCATCTATTATTAATACTTAGCAGTGATTTCTCCATGAAAATTAAGTATAATATATCAAGATTCATTTTCAAGGTTTCTTACTATCAGTGGTATAATATAAGCCAAATTGGGTCAATAACTGCATCCCAGTGCCTACTTCCTCAGCCAAGACACATAACTTATGTATGACTCATTAGGTCAACAAATCAATTCCTACCCAAGGGTGTCATTCAAGTGTTTGGATTGATATAACAAGAAAGTGAATACAAATTATGAAATTAAAATCACCCTCCATCATTGCTTTAATACAGGGAGTAACACAGACAGATTTTTTCTTGATATAATATTAATTCATGGATAGGAGATTTCAAATTTTGAATTTATGCTTGAAAGCATGGAAATAAATAACACGTACCAATACAGTACTCATAAAACTCCATAGGAATTCTAGATGTATAATCACAAGAAAATATTATTACCAGAAATTACAGATTTCAATTCTGCTACAAGTTTATGATGTGATAATATACCTTTGCTGCTACCTCTCCTAGATTTCCTGAAATTGCAAAATGGTTTTGAATCACACGAAAAGAAGGATCTTTTAGTCCTCTTGCTACAGCCTGTTTGAATGTCATACAATAAAATTTACACAATCAAATCATATATAAAGTGGCTATTAAGTAATCCATGATCCTTCTGTGAACATGAGAGTGCAGAACTACAACTGCTTTTAAATCACTATTTTTCACGATTTATGTTAAAAAAGAATTTTCGAACTACTTGTTTCAATATACCAAAATTCTCCTTTACCAAGGACTGGAAGTAAACATTTTAACATTATACGTTGCTACTTGCAAGGCATTTATTTGGGAGGATGTACGGAAGGGTAAAATAAAATCCATGGCCAATATTCATTTGGAATGTGAAGAGAAAGACAACAAAAGGGTAAAATGAAAGGTTAAAGGCCAAATTCTCAAAGTAAAAAAGGACAAAAATAGCAGGGAACTAACCCCCCATCTCCCAAAAAAAAAATCCAATAACAACAATTATTTTAAACTTAAATATGTTTTTAATTCCTCAAATTTAGGATAAATTTGTTTTTTAGTCTTGTAATTTGAAAAAAAAATCTTGTTTTATTTCTCATGGTTAAATTTCATTAATGAATTGTGAAATATTGTCACATGAAACTTACCAACTAGTATTTTTAATAGTAAAAACATTACATTAAACCAAGCTAATGTTGTATAACTATCAATTTGTCACTATCAGAAATATTACTTGTAGCCTAAGGAATTGAAACATTTTCTTTTACATTATAGGACTAGAAAGATCAATTTTAAATTTGAAGGACCAAAAATAAATTTATTCTAAATACGAGAGAATAAAAACATATTTAAGTCATTTATTTTACGTTCTATACATAGCTACATACTATTGATCTAAGTTTAGAAAATGCAAAACCGTATCATCAATTCAGTATATCTATTATCTCTTCCTTTCTGCCAAACAAACAAGAGATGAGTAATTTGTGTTTTTTTTTTCCATTCTTTTGATCCCCATTCCCTGTTTTTCCAACTTTTTTTCAACATTTCTTCTCCTTTTGGGGATAGAATTCTATCAATTTTTTATTTTCCTCGAAAAAAAATGAAGTTAGTAGTAGGAAAAGGGCAGTCAGAAAATGACACTTATCCAAAGTCAATCATTATTCATAATTATTTCATATCTTTGAAATATTAACTAATAATCATCTTTATGCAGTAATTGGAAAAAAAAAAAAAAAAAGTGGTTCTTTTAATAGAGTAAATATGTGCAAGAATTAAAGATATCGCAGATCTCCATATTAGAGGAATCAGGGATTTGAATTATTTTGTTGTAAAAATAAGATCTCCATTATTTGTTTCCTTTTAATATTCCTTGAATCAATGAAATTCAAGCAATAGATGATAGTGTAATATTTCTATATAAGCAGTACTTTTACTGCTGAATAACATGTATTATGTATATCTTCCCTATAACTTTCTATAATATACATAATAAAGTACCTTAGTAAGATTTCCAAGAGATGCCAAAGGAAGGAAATAGGCAGGGTATAGTTGGGTTGTCAGATCAAAAATGCTGCATGAGATGTTAGCAATATGAGTTTCTCTAGAACCTCATTTTATTTGCATATTTCCATAGGAAAACAACGCATGCAACTCAGACCTGCCAGCACTGCCAATGAAATCTGCATACATTCTCCATTGCTTGGGATCATCATCAAAAAGACTTCCAAACTGCCCACCTGAAGAAAAGCAGCAATAGTCAGCTAAAAAAATTACATTTTCCACTTCCTTCAGTTTACTTCACGGATGTCATACCAATGAATAAGCGTCCAATAGCTCCAATGCCATCCTTTGAGACCCACCTAAAGTTATAGAGCACACGATCAACCACATAAAAATCAAATGAAATATTTAAGATAATACTACATGCATAAAAATACAGTATTTGTAAGTATAGGCTCTAAAATTTATGAGTCACCTGATGGCAGCAGCAGAAGCAGCTGCTGTGGTTCCAGAGAAAGAGCCAACACCAACAGCCTGAAGTTAAGTAGAAATTTTGACACGAGACAGAAGCACAATCAACACTCCTCGCATTAATGAGCTAGAGAAATAAATTTAAACAAAAGATAACATTGTTATGGAGCACATGTAATTGCAAAAAACTTTGCTGCCCAGTCACATAGAAACAAGAAGTAAAACCTTTAATAAAGAATTTAAAGAAACAGATATAACTTTCAAAGATGGCTTCCTAACATACATCAAGAAACTTTAATCGATATCAAAAAATGTATTCAAGAAGCAAGTAGATTGGCAAGACTATCTCTAACGATTTTCATGACTTAGCTTTAAGCCTCACTGACATGCACAGTGGGGCTTTGTGAAATAATTATCAATTTCAATGATAAGCATGGCAATTGCACAAAAGGAAACATAAAACTTAGCCAAATATTCCCAGGGAAGACATACTTGAGAAAAAAATCAGCAGTTTGAGCAAGATTGACATGCCTTTAGGAGACTTGAAGTGACTAGAGTGTGACAGATCCATCCAGTCACATTGGTAGGGAACTGTAATAACATGTAATGCAAGTAATCATTTGAAACTGATCCTGCATCATGTGTCATGACCGAGAAATTTAAGTAAACAAATGGTTGAACTCCAATTTAACATAATCACTGAAGTTAAAACTCAAGAAGTTTATCTATGAAACAACCACTAAAGTTTTTTATTTTAATCACCAGGAAAGCCTGCTGGTAGTATAAAATCTTTTATTATCTTTGGAAGCCAGGATAGACTTTCATCAGCAGAATGCAAATCCTGGAACCTGTATGGTGTAGACCTGTCTTCCTCAACAAGAAAGGTTCGCAACTTCAAATCATCTCCTAATACGTATCTGTTCATAAGAGAGGGGGAAACAAAAATATCATCAGTCATAGTTGAAGCCTAATTTGGAGAAGACAGCCAGACATTGTGAAATTTGTGTAATTGAGCAAATGGTGATAATGAAAAGTACAAGAGATTACTAGAATATTCCCGGGAACAAAAATATCAATAGTCATAATGATATTTGTTTGAGCAATTAGTATATCATTCACTTTTTCTAATGAAGTAATAATCAATGTGTATTAGCATTTCATGATCCCCCAACTTCACAACTAGTAATGCAGTAACCTTCATAAATGTACAATTGCAGAATTTAAATAAAAAAATTATTATCCTTTAGGTCGTCCCTATAATTTCATCAACTTTATCTTTTAGTTACTATAATTAAAAATATTTTATTTTAACTCCTATACATCCTATTTTTGTTTTCTTTTAATCCTTATAGTTCATAAATTTTACCTTTTAGGCCATATATAAATAGGCGTCAAAAAACTAAAAGAACAAAAATGACATGTAAAGGGGCTAAAATGAAACTTTTTTAACTATAGGACTAAAAAGTAAAATTGATGAAACTGTCCAAAAGTTAATTAAACCAAAAAAAAAAAACCCCAAATTTTGGTATAGTTGAGCAAAAACCTCTTAGCAGTACCATTGCTATATCTCTCCACCAATATCACCCGCGATGAACCCTGATATCTGAAACAACACAAGAAAATGGAAAATAGTTTATTGGGACAGTGAAACACGCCAAAATCAAAGGTTTGATTTGATTAAGCAAGTAAAGCCTTAAAAAATAAAAATAATATATATATATAAAAATAAAAATAAAAAGATTCTCCAAATTCATTCTATTCTTCTCTACAATAGACAAATTATCCAAAATTTCTGGATTGAAATGTACCAATGTAACCAAATGCTTCATCATTCATCAACTTGTAAAAATTCTGGAGAAGCAAATAAAAAGATTAAATTTTTTTCCCAAGGTAATTCCACTATTTTCTTGTCTACAACAGATAGATTATCTACAATCCCATAACCATCATACACTTATCAAATTTTTGGTCAAGGCAAAAAAAATCCCAGAAAAAATCTACCCTTTGAAATTTTCTCAGGCAAAACAAAACAACCAAACAAAAGTATCAGACCCTCCATTATCAGCATCATCTTCATCTTTGAAACTGGAATGCCCAGAAGAGCATAGAACTTGAAAGCAACGAGGCCTAACTCTCTTCATCTTCAGCTTCTCCACCTTCATTAGAGAACTGAAAGCACTTGAAGAGAACGAAAATTGCAAAGTGTGAGACATTGGGGAAAAAAAATTATAAGCAAATTTCGAGGCTTCTTATGTTTGAATTATGAAACAGTTTCAAAATTTGAAGAGTTTGGTTCGTTGCTTCTTTTATGTGTCTATAGCTCGAGCCTCAAGCTGACACGGTTAAACACTATCTCCAAAACTGGAAGAGAAGAACAAGCCACGAGTCGGGTCGGATCGTTCTTATAACTGGATTCATAGTTTGACCCGAAACTCAATTACGGATAGGCCCATACCAGTATTGGGCTTAACAAATACTTCGGCCCATAAAGTTTTTAAAGATCCATTTCTTCTTTTTTTTTTAAGTTTTACTACATCAGTAAGATTTTAGAACTTATTTTTTATTGCCTTTAGTGAGTTTGAATGATTTTTTCTCCACCTTTCACAAAAGTGTGTAGTTTTATATATAATTTGGAAATGATAAACATCAAACAACCTTATACAAATAAGCATACATGCAGATTATTTACACATTACGATGAACTTGAATCTATTATCATTCATTTATTTATATGCATTATTTTTACTCTTGAACTGCGATGGATTTCAAAACAACATTATTTATTCAATTTGATTGACTTTGATCAATTTTTAAAAACTCACTTAAATGTGGATCTATTTTTATGCTAATTGCTTGTTAAGAACTAACATAAGTAACAAATGGTGTTTAAATAGGATATTATAGTAATTACTTTTGTAATGAATCAACAAATTCGTATACTTTATAGTTCAGCAATTAAAAAAATAGAATTTAATAATTTAGGATATACAATAATATATATGTATAAAAAAATGATTAATTCAAAAAGTAAAGGTTTTTTGGTGGAACTACAACACAGTCTTGTATATATATATAATATAAGAAAATATTCATTTACTCAGAAACATAAATTTGTTTAACTCAATAACTCATGTTCTATATCAAATTTTAACGATTCAATTATTAAATTAAAAAATTTTAATACATAGATCAAATATGTAATTTGTTAAAAAAAATTGAACACTATTTGATAATTTATTTATTAATTAAAATTAATATATAAAATATTTTTTATGATTATTTTTCGATTTAAATTAATGAAACGAAATATTAAATAATTTTTTTAAAAAAATTAACCCTAGGTAATTAGCTTTATATTTTTTTGTTATTAGTTCATGAGTTGTGAAGTGTAGGAATCGTAGTGAGTCATTACCAATGGGATCTCCAACATACCCCTTTCCTACCAAGAACTGAACATCTCGAACATAAAATTTGCATAATTAAACATTTATATATAATTTGATAACGATCCAATAATAAGTGACTTGATAAGCTCACTAATAAGTAATAATGGCTAGGATACAAGTTTTTGACATGTTCCGATATTATTTTAGAAAAGTGGGTTAAGAATTTAACTTAATTTTACAAAATTAACTTATAAAATAATAATTATTTCTCACCTATATACATTATTATAGTCTTATTCTTAAATGATGTGAGATATCCAACATAATTATAAAAGAAAAATGCCTTAATGGGTGTCCTTCATTTATATCTCAAATAATTACCGTTAAAAAATTCACTTAAAAATAGGTCAAACTAAAGTCTTTACTATAATCTATTTAGTTTAAAAGCAAAGGCTACAAGTTATTTAAAAAAAAAACTTATATTACACTTAAAAGATTGATCTATTTGAATAAAAATGAATAATAATA